AAATGAAGATTATAATCACACCCATTACCTGTTTTTGTTTCAAGGATTCAGTCAAGTAATTTCCAGTCTCACAAAGCTGAGCAGGGTACCTCCTCTGGGTCTCCAGGGCACCCATCACACACTTACTAGGCTGGATTGTACCTGTGTGTCCATGCCATTCTGAGCCAGGGGCCTCTGGAATGACTGCCCAGGAGAAGTCAGAGCAGCTGTGCTGAGTGGGTGAGAGGTGAGGTGCACAGAAAACTAGCTGGAGCACTGCCAGGCACCCACCAACCCTCTCCAGGGTCTCTGTGAACAGGAGCCTGTGAGTTCACTGGCCTGCCTCACGGTAAGCCAGGACTGTACACATGTTACTCCAAAGTCCTGCCAGCATCTCCAATTTATAGATAAGACAACTGGCTCAGAGAGGTGAGGCCACCTTGCTCAGAGTTACAGAGCCAGGAAATGGCTGAGGCCAGCTCAATTCTGACCCCAGAACCAAGCTCTGCTCTGAATAACAAAAGCAAAATAGGCCACTGGCCATTGCACGCTATTCTGAGTTCATACTCTAGGGGAGAAACTAGTGGCTTTCTGTGCAGACCCCTCCCGAGTGGGGAGTCTGGTTTTCCAAATGTGACGGGCTGCACACATCTCCTTTGGCAGGTCCCTGAGCTGGTCCTCATCTGTTGCTCCTCTCCGGTGACAGAGGCCAGCTGGATGTGGGGGCCAGGCTCTGCCCATTGCATCTATCCTGCAGCACCTGCTGAGCATCTCAGAGGAATGGTGGCAGCAGTCTCACCTACCTCTGAGCAAAAGCCATCCATAGGGGTCTCAACATCACAGTTCCCAGGCTCCCCTCAAAGGAGGGCCCTGGGGAGACTGTTTCACAGAACTTAGCCATGGAGGCAAAAACCTTGGGGTTCAAGCCATTCCCCGATTCTGTCCTGATGAGAACTATCCGCAAAAATCTATCTGGTCCACGAGCCGACGCTCTAACCGATGAGACAAACTGGCAAAAATCTAGATAAAGGCAGCTCGAAAACTGTTCATGACCCTGAGGCCCCAGAATTCCATGTTTGGAAATATGGCCCCTGGAAACAACAGGTGATTTGTGCAAAGAGGTTTCTGGCAAGGTGATTAAGAGAGCTGAGGTCGCCCTGGCCGGTTTGGCTCAGCGGTTAGAGCGTCGGCCTGCGGTCCGGAGAGACCCGGGTTCGGTTCCCGCTAAGGGCACGTACTTTGGTTGCAGTTTGTCCCCGGCCCTGGTTGGTCGTGCGGGTGGCAGCCACTCGATGTGTCCCTTCACGTCGATGTTTCTCTCACTCTCTCCCTTCCTCTCTCTCTCCCTCCCACTCTATCTGTACAAAAAAATGGAAAATATCCTCGGGTGGGGATAAAAAAAAAGAGAGAGCTGAGGTGGACACTGCCTCAAATGCTGAGTAGACAGGACTCTGCCCATCAGTTTTCTTCTCTCCCATTTAATCAAGGTTCTACTACTTGTAGACTTTAAAATTTAGAGCATCCCCCAAGTCGTGATCTCATCTGACTCTAACCTGTGCTCATGAGGCAAGAGGACCAGAATAACTTGTCCCCATTTCTCATAAGAAGAAAACAAGGCTCAGAGAAGCCAAGAGGCAGACCTGAAGTTATACTGCTTATTGAAGTCTAGGGCCCAGACCCCAGCCTCCTGACCTTTAATCTAGTGGTCTTTTCACCACCCCAGACCACCTTTATGAACAGATTAACACTAAAAGCGATGGGCATGCCCTGGCCGGTATGGCTCAGTTGGTTGGGCATTGTCCCTTGCACCAAAATGTTACTGGTTCAATTCCTGATCAGGGCACATGTCCAGGTTGTGGGCTCCATCCCTGGTAGGGGGCGTGCAGAAGGCAACTGATCAATGTTCCCCTCTCACATCATTGTTTCTCTCTCTCTAAAAAAAAAAGTGTATATACACACTTTTTTTTTTTTTTAAAGGATGGGCATGTGAGGCCTGGGAATGTACATGTAAAAGGATGCTAAGTAGATTAGACCAGGAGATGGGAGATAGGGTGGGAATCTATCTGCATGTAAACTCTGCAAATAAAATTCTTAAATGTACAGGAATAATTGGTCCTCATACCACTGGGGGTCCCTTTTCCACCAGGCTCTTCTGTGAAAACCACTTTAAGGAGGAGAAAACCATAATTACTGCTTGGGATAACAGAACACTTAAGGGCATGTCAAAGTGCTGAGGGTGGGCTCATGCAGCCAGAAAAAAGCATATTCAATGTCATAATTTCATATTTGGAAAACTGGAATTGAGTACTCATTTTTGTAATTCAGGTCACAGCAAGTGAAGCTTGGCACATCCTCCATGACTGGGAGACACCCACAGGAGTCCAGTGAATTCTTAAGCAAGGAAAGCTCCCAACCCCAGGGGAGGAGAGGATATTTGAAATCCCAGAGCCTGAGATTGGGGAGGTTTGCAGGTTTATATAGGTTAAGAAATTCTTGACTAAATGCCCTTTAAGGCTCTACGAATTCTGCCACTCTGCGTAAAATTCTCTTGATGATTATTGATTGTGGGAAGAGAATTTCTAGAATTATATGAAGTCAGAATTTCATGCTCATTTTTAGACACCCCCCCCCCACCACCACCATACAAACAAAAAGGGATGGAGGAGGTTACCTTTAGAGTTTCAAGTTTAGACCTATTTGTTAACCTTTGTTCAGGCTGCAGACCTGCAACAGCCTCAGGCCGCAGTCAAGGCCTCTTCCCACTGCTTCAGCACCTGTAGATTTAAAAAGTCTTAAGCCCTGGCCGGTTTGTCTCAGCGGTGGAGTGTCGGCCTGCCGGGTTTGGCCCCCGCTGGGGGCGCGTGCCTTGGTTGCGGTTTGTCCCTGGCCCTGGTTGGGTTGTGAGGGTGGAGGCCACTCGATGTGTCCTTTTCGCTTCAATAAAAAGACTTAATTCCCGGCTGCAACTCCCCTTGCTCTAAAAGGTGACCTAGGAGCTCCACATGGGCCCTGGCCCAACCCCTTCCCTCAATGGGACTAGCCTTCTCCAAGGTGGGTCCCCTGGTGCTCCCCAGCTCCTTCTAGCCATCCCATAAATATGTTCTGGGTTCTAGCACTCCCTCCTCAGCTCTGAGTCCCCTCTTCCTCCTCCTTGATATCAAGTTTATTTCATGATAGGCTCACTTTCACCCTGGCCGGGTGGCTCAGTCAGTTGAAGCATGGTCTGTACACCAAAGGGTTGCAGGTTCCATTCTAGCATGTTCCAGGTCAGAGCACATACCTAGGTTTTGGGTTCAATCACTTATGGGAGGCAACAGATCCATATTTTCCTCTTATATTGATGTTTTTCTCTCTCTCTACCTTCCTCTCTCTCTAAAAACAATCAATAAATAGCCCTGGCTGGGTGGCTCAGTTGGTTGGAGTGTCATCCCGGACAACAAAATAGGTTGCAGGTTCATTCCCGGTCAGGGCACATAGGCAACATAGATGTGAGATGTCTCTCTCACACCTCTCTCTCTCAAATCAATTAAAAAAAAACAAAAACATATCCTTGGGTAAGGATTAAAAAAAAACAGACTCACTCTCCAGCCATTTCTTCCTCATCTTCTGTTCTTCCCTTAGCCTGGTTGACTTCTTGGCTGCTGCCTAACACTGTGACCACCACCCTCTGCTTCTGGAAAGTCTCTTTGCTCTCAGCCACTTTCTATTGACCTTGCCTACTCATTTCTTTATTTATGTATTAGGACTTGGCACAACTGTTACTAATAACTTTTCAAAAAATGTCATAAGCCCTGGCCGATTTGGCTCAGCGGTTGGAGCGTCGGCCTGCGGTACAGAGAGACCCGGGTTCGGTTTCCGCTAAGGGCACGTACCTCGGTTGCAGTTTGTCCCCGGCCCTGGTTGGTCGTGTGCGTGGCAGCCACTCGATGTGAAAGGTTCACATCAATGTTTCTCTCTCTCTTCCTCTCTCCCCCTCCCACTCTACCTGAACAAAAAATAGAAAAATGTCCTCAGGTGAGGATATAAAAAAAAAAAAAAAAAAAATGTCTTAACATTCAGATCTGCCTTGGATATAAATTCCATGAGGGTGGGGACCAGGTCTTTCTCACACATGCCTGCACAGTGCCTGGCACCTAGCAGATTTGGTGAACATGTGCTGAGTTCATACACTTACCCTCCCCCCGCCCCGGCCCTCCCAGATGGGTTGGCCATCCATGCCCCAAGCTCTGAGGGCAGGCAGCAAACATTCAAAGCTGATGTTCTGGTCAAATACCTAGGCCATGGCCTGTGGCCCTAACTCTGGTACTCACCCCCTCTCCTCTACCCCTCTTCCACATGCACCCTGGGCCCTTTGACTTTCACATCCTCTTGGCCCCTCTCAGGTCATAGTGCTCTCTAGGCTCTGCAATCCCCATCTTAGCTCAAGTGCTCTACACCTTTTTCCACTTTCCCTGAAGAGGGACAGGACACAAAAATAAAGAATTATTCAATGGGCTTAACGGCAGACTAGACATACAAAGGAAAAGATAAATAAATTTGAAGACAGAAGTGAAAATGATGGAATAGGGCTCTGAGATCCATGAGACAATATCAGATGGTACAGTTGGAATCTCATCAGCCTGGCCTTTTGAAATGGGATTTCCCATCCTCTTGTTCTGCCGCTATTTTACTTGTATTTTATTCTTTCTTTGGAAGAGCAGTAACAAGGATGCAGGCATAGAGGAAAGAGAAATGGCAGGTGGTTTAAGGATTAAGAATGTGGGCTATAGGAGACAATTCTGGGACTGAATACCTCCTCAGTCACTTGCAAAATGTGTGACCTTGGGCAGGTCATCTATCTTCTCTTAACCTCGATTTTCTCATCTGTACCTGAGAATTAAACAAGATAAGGCAAGGAAAGCCCAGCAGAAACTATGGCCATGGTAAGTATTCAGAAAGTGCTTTTATTCTCATTACAAATCATCATGGTCTCATCATCATTTTCATTTATGCACATTCCCTTCCAGATTTGGTCTGTAGGCAAAACTTTTTTTTTTTTTTTTTTTTTTAACATTTTCACAGTCATGGTGCAACACCATCATGTATTCTGGTTTCAAATTTTAAAAAACATTATTCTTGAATATATAGTTTCCCACGTGGCTAGCAAGTCTTCACTGACATCATTTAAAGGGGGGATTCCACAACACACCCTTGAATTTTTGGTGGGTTTATTTTATTTTTGTTTCCCTCCCTGTATTATTTACCCCAAGGTCCTGGTGTAACAGGGACAGGCAAGTTCTTGATAATCATACTCTTCCAGACTGCACTCAGCTGTCTAAGGGGGCGACTCAGAAAGGATCTATGTGCAGGCTTTGCCGCTAACTAGCCATGAGCTTTGGGCAAGTTATTCCCTGTGCTCCTGGCTCCCTTTTATAAACAATGACAGGCTCTGTCCACCCACTCAGAGAGGCACAGAAGCACTGTTCAAACAAACATGTTCACCATCATTGCCACTCATGGACTAGAAACAAAGACAAGTCTTTAAGTTCTCTGAGGCACAAGGTCTTAAAAGCTTCCTGGGAAATGCCTGTGATAGTAATTTTCTCTGCCAGGGAACAGAGAAGGCACTTAGAAAATTCCTGCTTCGGAATGGTATGAGGAGTGGTGGGCCCCAGTGAACCAGTGGGCCGAGTTCAGGGCACCCATCCCACTTCACTTATAACACTTCTGCCATTGCCTGTCTTAAACCTTGGGGCTTCCTCAGAGGATTTAATGGGCATCAAGTGTAAACCATGCATCTGGTCCAGCGTACTCACTTTGCAGATGAGAAAACTGAGACCCTACGAGGTGAAGGGGTGTGCCTATCAGCACCATTCTGGATGACCCTGAGCTGTTTTCAAAGCATCCCTGAAAGGGTGCCCTCAAGATCTGAAATGAGAAAGTATATAGATCCTAAAAAGAGACTAAATTTGACCTGGCACTACAATCTGGAAAATTTGAAAAATCACTTGTCTTCTCAAGTCCTTTAAACCAGGAAGCTAATGAGAGGCCTGAACACCGCTCTGGGTGGTCAGGAGTGCAGATGACAAAGTGAAGGTGACAGGGGCCATATCAACAGTAACAGATACCATATGTAAAGACCAGGAGCTCCCCTGACCTGCCTCCCTTTGCTCCAGGGACAAGAGCTGGTCTGAGAAGCTCACTGACAGGTAAAAGAATGGCTCTGCCCCTGCCCTGGCCAAATGCCTACAGGAAGAAACAGAGTCTTCCTGCTGCCTGTCAGGATGGCTGACCCTGGACCTGATCTCAACTAATTTGGCAGCATGAGGAGAGGACACTACCCCATATCTGCTCTGCATCTCCAATGCAGCAAGAGAACTGGCGTGACATAGAATTGCTATTGATTTTCACTTGTGTGGGCTGACACAACAAAACCAATTTGTCAACGGCCTGTCTGCCTCGGTGCTTCAGATGCTCATCCTAACCACATGCAAATAAATTGTAGTAGCAACTAGAGAGATTTGTCAAGGTCCAGCTGGGCAGGGGCCCTGGCTTCAGCTGATGGACTATAGCCAGGCTGAGCTAGGATCAGCCCAGCAAATGCCCCACTGTTGATCTGCCATTGTTCAGCAACATTTTGGGGGCCCAGGAATTGGGATGCCTGGCAGCTGCTGCCACACTAGGAGCCAGTTGGCCATGCCTAGAAGGGAACTCTGAGGAACTAGGCCCAAGTCCCACTTACTCCAACAGGGTTTGGCAATAACATCCACACTTGTTTCTTCTGATCTCTGACCCCTCAATTTTGGAGGATTTAAGAGTATACCTGCAACCAGGAGGCACTGAGTTCTGGTACTGGCTCTGCTGCTGGCCAGGTGTTCTCAGGCCAGCTGAAATGGAGATGATACCACCCACGGGGGTCTAGGACTCTGTAAAGGCCAAGGGTCGGACTAAGTGTCCATCCCTGTTCTCCCACTTCCTAGTTATGGCCTAGGCAGGCACCTTCAACTCTCAGTGCCGCACCCTCGTCATCTGTACTGGGGCTGACAGCCGTGCCTACCTCCTCGGGTGGAGATGGTGGGGACTAAATGAGATAACAGACAGGACTGCAGGTCCTCACACTCTGAGTCCTTTCTTCCACAAGCAGGGATTGGAGATTCAGAAAAGAGAGTGATGTTCTCAGGGACACACAGCAAGGCAGAGCGACATCAGGAGGGGTTGCAATGAGAAGCAAGAATGAAAGGCTGATGAAAAGAACACGGTGACATCCTGCCCTCTTCCTCTCCAGACAGGGCTGTCACTGAAGAATGGGACACAGGGAGAACCGGTCATGGGCATATCATGGATGATTGCTTAAAAGGGTCAAACACTTTATTCGCAGGCCTTTTTTTGTTTTTGTTTTTGAAATACAGGTTTCCTGCCATCCAGGGAAAAAGGAAGTGGTGTCTTGCTGCACGAGGTTTGGGGCTTGCCTTGGGGCTCTGTCCCCATCTTTTTCACCTGCTTGCTGGTCCCATGGGCTCCTGTGCTGTGGGATAAGGCACTGTGTGTTCTGCAAGAAGGTGCTCAGGGCTGGCAGATGGACATTGAGGTGGTCTTCTCAGGGGCTGCAAAGCTGAGGATGCTGAGGGGTCGAGTTGAACTTGGGGGCCTGGTGAGAAGGCCCCAGGCTATAGAAACACAGCATGGTGGGTTTGGCACTGCCGCCTCCTAGCTGGCCCTGGTTTGGTGGCTTCAGGATGGAATCATGCCTTTATTTCTTTTGCGGTCAGCCATGGTTCTCCGGTTGTGATTGGCTCGTGTAGACTTGTTAGCTTCCTTCTTCCTGCGTTCCTGGGTTGTCTCACGGCTCTGCCCGTGGCCCCGGGAACTGCTGGCCACTGCTGTGTTGTCATGCCGGTACCTAAGGGTGGAACAACCCATCCCCAGGAGAACCCATGAGCCAGAAGAGGCTCTGATAAGAAGAGCCCACAGCCTTTCTGGAAGATCCCTGGGAAACGACATACCCATGTCCCAACTTCCAGTGGGAGGAGAAATGGAGCCTAGCAGGGGCAGGACTATGGGGGCTCTGGGCAGCCTGTACCTAATGATTTCTCTTCTCTGAGCCCTGCCTGCAGATGGGACCCTGCCAGCTAGTGGGCAGCCCACATAAGGAGAGGAGGAATACTCCTGTTCTATACCACAGGGCCTTGTTTGTTGGCCTCGAAAGACCAAGTGCACCAACAGACATGACTTAGAAGCTTTTCAGACCATCTCAACTGCTAGGTTTGCTCAGAGCTCTATGCTTAGGGGGTTGGGATGGAAGAGAAGTCAGAGTTGCTTTGTTTCCTGCTCAACAACCTTTTGTGGCCCCCACTGCCTACAGAGTGAGATCCAAATGCCTTCCTCCTTGGTGAAGTCTCCTGCACCAAGTGGGCATGCTATGGAAGTCCCAGGGTTAGAATAGGGGGCTGGGTTTCCACCCCTGGCTTGGCCTTCAGTGGGGGAGGGACCTCAGGCAGGTCCTTGGCTCCTCTGGACCATTTCCTCACTGGAAATGAATTAGAGGTATCTCTGGTTATGTGTTCCCAGCTCTGCTCTCCCTGACCACACCTGTGCTTTCTTGCCTTTCTGCCCTCACATGACAACCCCCTTTGTACCCTTTCCACCCTAAGGGTAGGGATAGTGCCCCTATCCCTACCATACTTCTCTCAGCTATAAAGGATGTGTGTCTGTCTGTCTGCCTGCCTGCCTGTTTGGGCTCGTTCACATTTTACATTCTGCCTAACACTAGCCAGCTCTGGACACGTTGGCTCTCACACTAGGTGACACTTGCAGCGTCTGTCAAGAGTTGGACAACCTGACCTCAATCTTTGTTCCACCATTTACTAGCTGTTGTGGAACCTTTGACAGGTTGCTTAACATTTCTGGGCCTCAGTTTCCTCATCTGTAAAATGAAGATAATGATAACAGGAGCTACTTCATAGGCTTGTTGTGAGAAATAAATTAATATACGTAAACCACTTAGAGTTTTTGTGTGGGCTTCCTGGGTGGCTGGCTGGGACTTCCCCAGATGGGTTCTCTCCCACCAGAAACAGCTCTTTAAGTGCTTACCCCTTCCTGGCGAGAAAGGCCATGCGCCTGGCTTCTGCTTTCTCCCGAAGCACTGCAGGGTCCTGCACAAAATGGTCAGGCTGTGGAGAGGAGAAAAGAATCATAAGTCATCCCATATCCCTAAGCTGTGGTAAGCTGCACCTGACTGAATCTTATTAATGCCTTCATGCCAGGAGTCAGGAGAAGGCACAGCATGGCAGGGCAATGCCCCAGAATGAAACTGGGCTTGTTAGGTCCAAAGTTTCTACTACGGTCCGAGCCTCCTCCTCTGTCCCTTCCAATACTCCAAGGGGAGGAAGCACAAAGGACTGAGGCTTCCTGGATAGGCAGAGTAGGGTTGATGACCATAGCTGGAACATAACAATGATAAATAGAACCAATGGGAAGGTCAGGATGCCCACCATAAGAGACAATATAGGGCCTTAAATGCCAAGAGAGGGAGAGAGAGACAGAAACATTGATGAGAGAGAACATTAGTTGGCCACCTCCTGCATGCCCCTCATTGGGGATCGGGCCCACAACGTAGGCATGTGCCCTGACCGGGAATCAAACTGGCGACCTCTTGGTGCATGGGTCGATGCTCAACCACTGAGCCACACCGGCCGTGCTTCAGGACCATTTTCTGTGCCAAGGGGGAAAGGAGCCTGGACTAGCAAGAGTAAAAGGAATAACCTAAAGACCATAGACAGCTTTGGTAGCCTGTGCTGTTTAAAAACCACACAAAACAGTCCCGGCCAGTGTGGCTCAGTGGTTGAGTGTTGACCCATGCACCAGCTGGTTCAGTTCCTGAATTAAAAACACACACACACACCCCAAACAAACAGAATTAGTTACCTTTGAAAACTGGAAGATCTTACATAAAAATCAGGGCTGTCTCCTTGCCTGGAAGAAGGGAAAGCCCTGGAAGTGCTGGCCTACGCTTGTGCCAAGAGGCCCCCCTGGACGGGGTGTGAGTCCCACTACTACGCTCAGTGTCCACTACTCATTTATGCTGGTGGCCTGGCCTTGGACACATCTGAACATGTCATTATAGTGGGGGGGCACCAAGGGATCCAAGGGTCTCTGGCTGGTGCTACATTCAATCTGAGCAGCATCGCTTTTCATTGTTTTATATGCTGAGGTTCTAGTTAAGATCTTATTTGAAGAAAATGTTTAGCTGCTAAAAAACAAAATTTTAAAACCCACCAGCACATATGACCTCCCTGGGCCCTTGGGCTCTAACGCCTCTCTGATTTTAAAAATTGCCATCCTTGCCCTGGCCGGTTTGGCTCAGCGGTTGGAGTGTTGGCCTGCGGTACAGAGAGACCCGGGTTCGGTTCCCGCTAAGGGCACGTACCTTGGTTGCAGTTTGTCCCTGGCCCTGGTTGGTCGTGTGGGTGGCAGCCACTCGATGTGTCCCTTCACATCGATGTTTCTCTCTCTCTCTCTTCCTCTCTCTCCCTCCCGCTCTATCTGAACAAAAAATGGAAAAGTGTCCTTGGGTGAGGATAAAAAATAAAAAAAAAAATTGCCATCCTGGGCACGGAGGCATTCAGCTGCCCCTCTCCTGGCTCCCAGGCTCTTGGGCCTAATGAACCCAGCAGCTCAAAGGCCTGGCCTCTGATCCATTCCCTGGGCCCTCACTAGGCAGCAGAGGTGAGTTCTAAGCCAGCAGCTCTCCAAACAGACATCTGAGCTTGAAGGTGCCCCCTCTTTCCCGGCATTGATGCTGGGGCAGCCTTGAGGCCAATAGGTAGGGGGGTGCAGTGCTTGTGATTCGTGCTTTACAACTGCACCCTTCTCCCTTCATCAGCCACCTGCCAAAGAGGTACCTTGGGGGCCTCATCTTCAGCTTCCTCTTCATCATCATCATCCTCCTCTTGCCCTTCTCTGGGCACTTTGGTTCTCAGCACTTGAGGGATGGTGAAGGGCCTAAGGGTTTAGAGAGAAAGTAAGATCAAAGACAAGATTAAACTCAGACAGCCTCAGAGAAGAGGGAATTGGGCTGGTTGAGGGGGGCCAATGGGACAGGCTCAAGAGGCCTGGAAAAACCAAAGTGCTTTTCAAGCCAACGTTGCTCCAGTCCCTGATTCTTTGAGGGTACCAAGGTCTGACGTGCAGACTTAGGGGGGATTGAGCTTGGACTATGGGGGTTCTTTAACTCTGTTTTTATCTGTATTGGGTAATTGCCATATGAATCCACTGGGAACGGTTTTCTGCAATTAAGAAATTGTAAAACTACTACATGAAACCAAGAAAAATTTTTTTACATGACACCAAATTAAAGGGACCCCACTGAGGGTGGGTTGGACCAACCAGCCAAGGGGGTAACTAGGGTTGGAGAGAGCACTGGACTAGGAGTCAAAAGGCCTGGGTTTGGGCCCTGATTCATGAGATCAGGGCCTTGGGTTCCCCATCAATATAAACAAGAGGATATGGGAGAGCCCCATGGGCCAGAAAGCCACTTTGCCCCTGAAATCCCATCCTCTACTCGCTCTATGGTCTCACCTGCGGCTGATGAGTTCATCATCAGAGTCGGCATCATTGGCGCCCACCTGGTTGCCATCATATGTATCATCATACTCATCCTCATAGTCATCACCTCGGTAGGACAGGCTCTCACCTGGCTGCAGTGGCACCTGCAATGGCAGAAGCGTAGGTCAGAGGGGCCCAGGGGCCAGATGGTCTCCCCAGCCCAGCATGAGCCCAGAGGCCTGGGAACACCTACCTCCTCCACCACCACACTGTACTGCTCGTAGCGCTGCCGTTGTGCCACCACCTCCCGTTTGTCGTTCACCAAGCTCCTAGTGTTCTCTTCCTTCCTGGCATTGAGAGGAAGCAGCGAAGGAGAGAGGAAAGAACCATCAGGCATTGAAGGCTGTGTCAAGGGTCCAGAGAGACCATGGGCTCACTTCTTCACCCCTCAGGTCAGCACAAACAGGAACAACTGATATCAAGCACAGGTGGGGTGTGGGCAGGTGGGACTCACAGCTGCTGGTGCCCATGTGATCGGGCTCAGCACTTTCGAGGGCATCCCAGGAGTAGCTGTTAGAATATAAAACATGTCCACCCTTCAATCAGAAAATTCCCCTTCGAGCCCTGGCCGATTTGGCTCAGCAGTTAGAGCATTGGTCTGCGATCTGGAGAGACCTGGGTTTGGTTCCTGCTAAGGGCACGTACCTCGGTTGCAGTTTGTCCCCGACCCTGGTTGGGTCATGTGGGTGGCAACCACTCGATGTGTCCCTTTCACATCTATGTTTCTCTCTCTCTCTCTCCCTCCCACTCTATCTGAACAAAATATCAAAAAAAAGAAAAAAGAAAAAAAAAAATTCCCCTTCGAGGCATCTACCCTAGAGAAACAAAATATCATGTGCACCAAGAAGTCTGACCAGGGATTTTCTTTCTTTTTCAACTGTATTTTTTAATAGTTTTTTGTTGATTTTTTAGAGAGAGAGGAAGGGAGAAAGAGATAGAAACATCAATGTGAGAGAGATGCATTGATTGGCTGCCTCCTGCCCCCCGCTCACTGGGGATCAAGCCCACAACCCGGGCATGTGCCCTGACTGGGAATTGAACTGGGACCTCTCATTCTATGAGATGATACTCAATCCACTGAGCCACACTGGCTGGGCTCAATTATATTTTTTTATTGATTTTTAGAGAGCAAGGAAGGGGGAGAGAGAGAGAAACATCGATTTCTTGTTCCATTTCTTTATATATTCATTGTTTGAGTCTTGTAGGTGCCCTAACCAGAGATCGAACCCACAACCTCAGCATGTCAGGACGAAGCTCTAACCAAATGAGTTACCTGGCCAGGGCTAGGCATTTTCTTTTCAGCATTGTTTGTTAACAGGGAAAATGAAAAGCAACTAATGTCTGTCACCAGTGAAATGGTTAAATGACCTGTGTCACATCTGTATTACAGAACACCATGCAGCAGTTCTCAAGAATGACAGTGATGTGTTTGTGCTGATGGAGAAAGAATTCTGATGAAGAAAAAAACCCAGCTACAGAAAAACGCATACAGTATGATCCCATCTGTATAAAAAGCTGAAAATAAACAAGACCAAATATCTGTTCCTATGGGCACATATATATCTATATATGTAAATGCAAAGAGGGGATTAGTGAGTCCCCCACCAAATGACGATGGTGACCCCTAGGAGGGCCCTGGGTTATTTGAATCTTTTAAAACAAACATTTAAAAAAGAGTAAGGCCACATGCGGTTTTCTTACTGAGCTCAGGGGAGCCCTAGGGGACATTTGAGGTGTGAGGGGTCAGGAGGAATCCTGGCCTCTTCCTCTCATCCCCACTTCACCATGGTGGTCTTCTAACTGTTCTATGTCCAATCTTCCATGTCAGATTGCATGGGGGAAAAAATGCCTGAAAGTTCCACTCCCACCATATCACAGGTGACAAAACGCGGGTGCAGAGAAGGGGAGGGACTGCCTGGGATCACAATGAGCTGTAGCATAACCGCAGGCCTCTTGACTTATTATGTGCAAATCTGTAGAAAAACCTGGCTTGTCAGACACATATAGGCCTGTGGAATGTAGTTTTGAGCCCTGCAGGGGAAAATCAATATGAGATGCTAGGCAAGAAAATCTAGCTTAGCTGTGAAATCATGTCTCTGGAATGTATCAAGGGTAAGAGTGGGGGGAAGACACAAAAACCTTCTATTAACTGGTTTTTGATACAGGGAGGAGTAGGCGCCTGAGTCTGTTGGGCCGTCTATTGGGGAACCTGGGGCAGGTCAGGACTGCAGCCTCCAGCGTGGCAGGTTAGGATTAGACTTCTTTCAGTAGTTTTTACTAAGGGCCAGGCAGGGTACTAAGAAGAGATTCAGAAAAGCGTAAGGTATGGGTCTGATCTCGTGGAACTCACAGTCTAGTGGGGGTGACAGGCAAATAGCAAATATGAAATGTGCTGAATGCAAGCAAGCATGCCCTGGAAACTCAGAGAAAGGAGGAATGAACTCTAGCTCAGATGGATCTAGCTTGGGGTCAGGGGAAGGGGTGATGGAGACTCTATGGTGGGAGGGCATTTGATCTAGACAAGGGGAAAATCTCCATCCACAGAAATCTTTCACATCACACCAGGACAGGAGTCCTGTGACTGTGACCTTGGCCCTTACCTGGCTCTCTTTGCCAAGTTGGGGGCTGGAGAGAAAAGAAGTGGAGAGGAAGTAAAAGGGGCCCAAGCTTGTCCAAGGGGTTGGTGCCATTGGTAGGAGCATATCCATTCGTTCAACACACATTCCCTGAGGGCCTACTAGGTGCCAAGATCTGCACTGGGCCAGGGGACCAAGGATGAATGAAAGGCATTACTGTCCTTTCTGCTACTCCCATGGCTCCTGATCCACACTATCCCAGGTTCTGGGAAGTAGGGCAGTTCTTTTGTACTGGTGGTCTCTGGTTGTGTGGTTTCCTGGCAGAGCCAGACAGAGAAGCCTGACAAACTCACCCATCCCAGCTGGGCCCTGGGAAAGGGCACAACTAGGGACAGAGAAGCCTGGCACCCTAGGCACCCTATCTACCCCATCTAGGGAGGTGTGGCTTTGGCCCCATGACCTCATTCAGAGTCAGAAAGAAAAAAATTCAGGAGTAAAACTAGCCAGGAAAAGATCCATCTGGGGGCCAGCATTTCAGTCAAGTTTGAAAATGCAGGCAGCAGTGTCTTTGGAGATTGTCTTTGGAGCCGTTTGTTTCCTTGGCCTCCTAAAGATGACAGTGAGCCCAGGCAACATGCAGGCTCCCAGAAACCCCACTACTTTTCCCCTCCCCACCTGCTCCCGCCTATTCAAGGCCCACTCAAAACTGGCCCTTAGGGAGGTGACTCCCACCTTTGAACTTCTAAAGGGCCTGCAGAGGGAATAAACCCTTCCTTTTCCAAGTGAGAAATCAGAGGATCCAGAGAGGGACAGTAACCTTAAGGTCATACAGCTTCTACCAGCAGGGCCAGGGCTGAAACACAGAGTTCCTGAGTCATGTCTGCTCTTCTTCTTCCTGAGTTGTATGACTACAGGCAAGTGTCTTATCCTTGCCAAGTCTTAGTTCTGCCTCCCAGAGATGATGTGAAATAAAATAGGATGAGTAGAAGTGGACCTGGTACCTGCTAAGCTCAATAAACTGAATCCTATTTCTTTTACTTTAGGACTTGTCAGAGCCTTTAATGTGCTCTGCGACTCTCCTAGGGGCAGAAAGAGTACACAGACTTTTTGGCCACAGAATCTTTTTTTTGAGGGAAATATTTATTATTTTCTGGGATACCACTGTTAAGTCCAAAGGAGTTAGGGGACCCCACTTTATACATACTTTCTCCTTCATTTAGCTGATATACCTGCAGCACCTGTGCTTGGGATCTATCCAACAACCACCTTCATCTCCACTCCTAATAGTGCCTCATTTTGTTCAGATCTTTCTACCCTCTTCCCTATCCTGGAGCCCTGGACCTCAGTGCTGTGGCCCAGTTCCCTAAAGAGATGTGGGGGATTTTGGAGACTTCTGGGAAAGGTTTCCTGGTCTCTAAGACAGATACGGGAAGACCTGGTCCAGACTTCCTCTAGGCACTGTCATTTCTGGAGGTCAGGGCTCAAACAGCAGCAGCTGCCCAATGGCCTTGAGGGAAGCAGCTCCAAGATATGGAAAAGATGCATCCTTGATGATGTGGCTGCCCATAGGTTAACTAAGCCTAGACTGCCCTAACTTGAAATTTCTTGTCATGCAAGGAAACAGATTTACTTATTACCTGAGTCACTGAGTGCATCCTACCTGATTTAAGAACACACACACATTTTCATTCAAGTGTGACCTGACTTAACTTCTTTTGTAGTCCTTGAGGGCAGGGCCCAGGGCCCTGAGGTCCTCTGCCCTACCCAGATTAGGACAGGTGTCCCCACTGAGCCCCTGTGTACCCCATCCCAGCCCTTCTCCCACTTTACCACTGCTTATTGAATGGTCTAAGTCTTTCTCATGGTCTCTGTGCCGTTTGGGGGAGAAGCCTGGGTGCCTTGTTCATGTTGTCTCCCTACTGTCTAGCATAGGATCTGGCACTAGTAAATCACTTAATAAATATTTGCTGAATGCATAAATAATGAATGCATGAACAAAGGCTTTGCCTCTTCGCAAACCTCAGCCCCTGGACTAACCAACACAATGAGTTCAGTAAACATTTGCCACTCAGACTCTTTACCTGGCAGCCTGGAGAGTCCTATAAGCAAGGGCACAGCCCTCCTTGTCTGCCCCTTTATCCATAGCACAAGCTACAGAGGGTCACTCTGGCCTAGAACAGTGGCCACTGATGCAGGATACCATCTCTGGCCTAGGATCTGGGGATGTTGCAATGTGTGTGACTAAGCAGATTACAATTGCTTCCTGTCCAGCTAGCCAGATAACTATAGCTGTCCTATGCCTGCCCCAAGCACTTGGCCAGCCAAGCTTCCAGTGGCCCAAGAGAAGAAAAATAGCATGAGGCCCTCTCTGAGGCAGCAGCTTGCATTTCTGTCACTGGAGCTCCTATCATAAGAACAGGGCAGGTCCCCAACCGTCTGAACGGCACTGTCTCCATCTATATGATGAGGGAAAGGGCAGCTGTACTTGTCCGGCAGGGCCCAGATTTCTGGATTTCATACAACAACACCATTTAGGAGAATGTTGGAAGACTAGCACAGTGTTGTCAACAACCTTTACTTGCTGCTCTTTACTATGTTGTCCTCTCTACCATCACTGCTGACTCTCAGTTCCTCCCATGGGTCTCCATTCCCAAGTCAGGTGATCTTTCCAAAACAACATATGTTGGCTCATGGGACCATTACCACGCTTC